CCCCAAAACCCCAAAACCCCACCAGGCTTAATAGAGTAGATAAATAAAGGATAGTCGTTAAAATTAATTTATTCAGTCATTTAAAATGGTAAAATTCGGAAAACTAATTGCAGCTTAGAGAAGACCTGAATTTCAATAGTAAAAATACTAATTAAGTTTAATGTTTCTAGACATTACGTTGATTATACTACTTTGAAAAACAGTATAAAAGAAATGACTCTTAGGTGTATGTAAGAACTCGAGTAAAGTCATCAAGCAAGAATTGAAATTGATGAGATGAAAAGAGTACAATCTTAAGATGAGATGAAGGCGAGTGATATGCTTTCAGGGACAATCATCGGATAGATTTAAAAGTGATTTTTCGACTAATTAGAAATCTAAATCAGGAATTGCAGCCAGTTCCTTCAAAATTTGAATCATAATCTTGAAAGAGATGTCTAATCCATAATTAGTAGACAAGCTTAATGGAGGTAATTTTTTTTTCAACTTATAAATTTTCCAGTGATGCTGGTGAACACTCATTAATTGTTATTATGGAAAACCTTACGAGAATCGGTCAAGAAATCATAGAAATAAGCAAATTTGTTGAGCTAAATGTAACAGCTATTAGAAAGATACTTAAGAAGTTCGACAAGCAGTTCAAGGGTTTTGCAATGTAAGTAGCTTATCATAAATTTTTAAGAAAATTTTTATTAGTCCTTATGCATAGTACTTTTTAACCAAAAGCTTGTCAGATGAAAATAATCCTTTTAGAGCTCTTCTTGATAACCAAACTTTGCTTAGATCTCACCATCAGGTTGCTAGATGTGTTCAAGACTTGAAATTTATCTATAATAAAAGGAGTGCTTAAGAGTATAAGTAAAAGTTCAATAAAAGCAGAACCGTAGATTAGAGTCACAATAAATCTTAAAACAAAAGTACAGCAAAAATTAGAGAGCCCCTATTAGGATCGTTGAAGAATGGAAATGATGAGGATATAGCATAATTTGAAGGACAGTAGTCCACTAAAAAATTACTAAGCTCTCAAAATGAACTAAAGCTAGTAAAGTCAAAATTATCAATTTTAGAATCAACAATGTCAATTATCGATGAAGCTTTAATCTCAGTTAAGTATTCATCTATATATGCTATCAAGCTAAATTAAAGACTTAAAACATCATAGTATGAGAAAAATCTCAAGGTTTAAAGTGATTATTTCAAACCATTAAATGTCAACAAAAAAGTTTAAAGGTAGAGACAGTAACAAATTTATAATGAAGGCATGGCTTTCAAAGCATTGATTAGATCATATTCAAGTCCTCCATAATAAATGAGTTTCTTAGTTAATATAGAAATGGAACCCGAAAATATGTCTTCAATTCAATTGATCATATTTCAATCTTTCCTATATATGCTTACACAAACTGTTCTATTGCCATAGATAATAAGTTAACAAAAGCAAGTTTTTCTCTTTTATATTTTCAATCTCATTGTCAAGATTATTTACAGTTAGTAAGTCATTTAATTTTTTTAATCATTTATAGGATAAGCACTCACTCTTATAGGCCTTTGTTTTTGGCTTCTTCTTTCTTTATGATAGTACTCTGCATACTAAGTTCTATGGTTCCTGAATTCCCTAAGTTATACTACATAAGTATAGGGTAGCTTTATTATTTTTCTTAATTGGAAGACTTTTAGCGATTTCATCAGGCTGCAAGGTTTTAGACAGAAGATTTATATGTGATCATGTTAAACTGGACTAAATATTCAAGTATAATCACTTCTATGCATTGTTCACGACAACTGCAATATTTCTATGTAATTTTTAGTTTAGTTCACATTCACCACAGCATTCATCATAAACTTTTACAAGCTTACTGAATATTTTATGATTCTAGCGATGGTACTTTGGATTATAACTTTCCTCTTATTTGCCTTTACATTTCATGAACCAATGAAAGAAAATGCTAATTTTGCCAATTATTAGATAGAGTTCTCAATTAAAAAGCTAGAAAACGGTAAATAATTTCTATAAAACCCATTCAAATAAAGGTACTAGCTAGCCGTATCCTTACGATAAAACTTTACTTGATTTTTGGAATAAACCTTTTATTCTAGCACTATTTATATTATCTTTTTCATTTGTAAGACATATAATCTTTGTTAATCTCATTTTAGAGCGAAAAATTTTCGTTCTTAATGGCAGCTCCTATTACTTTTCCAGAGCATATTACTAGATGGATCTAGTAGGGTGACCAAATGTAAGAAATAGGAGATTTCAGCACCATTGAAGCATTTGAAGGAAAACTCTATTCTTCATATCTACTTGTTTTAATTTTAGCTTTCCTTATGATCCTCCTAATAGTCAATTGTACCTAGTCTTATAATGAGAGGAGATTTATGATTTTAGCTTTATTCTTCAACTTGCTCACTCTAGTGGGTTTTGCAGATTTTTAAGCTTCTAATAACATTGATCAGATCAAATACTTAATGTGTTTTACAGCAATTTCTTTGTGCAATATATTGATTGAATCAGCGACAGTAACTTTTCTAATGAAAAATCTTTCGCATTTTATACCATCTAATTCATACCTGATGAATGCTGGATTTTTAATAGAATTTATAGAGGTGATTTCTAAAATGCTAACTATATTGATCATAATGCTTGGATTGCTATTTGAAAAAGAGAACCTGCATAACTTTTTGATTACTTCATTTTGCATTTGGTGTCTCATTTTGACATTCTTCATGGTGCTAATATATGGAAAAATGAGAATCAGATAGAAATCTGTGAACGATAATTAATATTAGCTTATTGGGAACTGATTTAATAATTATGCATTTAAGTTCATAATTTAAGAATAATTATTAAATTCTGCTCAAATAACAATGGTTTATCATATGGGGTTTTGGGGTTTTGGGGTTTTGGGG